CAAAAGTTTTTTTTTTTTTCTGGGTTAGGTTTGTATTAGAAGAGAGCCATTTATTTTACTTTTTGTATTAAAAAAAAAAAGAAGATACTGTTTTCGGAGTTGTTATTAAATCATTTATAATACAATGTCTTTATTTTCCCACACATAAATCACGATACCGAAATAAAGTTACTATTACAGCTTAAACGTTTGTTTGTTTTCCACATACAAATGCTCTGTAGTTCAAACAAATACACAATTGTTATGCTTTTATTTTAAAATTCTAAAATGTCTAAATAATGTTAAAATATATCATATATAGTGGTAAAAATGTTCAAATGGATTTTAAATGACTAAAAGCATCACAAATATATATTTTTAACGATCTAGAAAAACCTTTAACACCTTTTTTAACCAATTAAAAAGGGGAAAAAATGCATGTAAAAATATTTTGTGCACAATGCATTTCTTGAATTAATTTTATACTTGATAATTAGAAATATATTTTATATATCACTTCCACAAATCATATTTAATACATTAGATAATGTCACACACACACACACACGCACACACACACACACACACACACACACACACACACACACACACACACACACACACACACACACACACACACACACACGTTGTAGATATTAATTTCCTTCTGAAAATACCGATGAGGTTTTGGCTTGTTTAATGATAGCGAGTGCAGACCACCCAGCTCACTGCCTCACCCGCGCGCACACGCACACACATTGCAATATTGTGAGTGGTAATGCAATCCTAGCCTTGTCTATTGGCATCTAATACGCACTCTCCAATCTATGTGAGTTTGTACATCATATATCAGCTGCGTAAATCAGAACTTTTTTTTATTTTAGGGAATCATTCTTCCTCCCAGAGGAGCGCCCGTGGTCCGGTGGTCTTTGGCTTCCCAAACAGGACTGAGAATAAACACGGAGGAGGAGGAGGACTGTATACCAAACATTTGAACCGGCTTTCATGTTGTATACACTAACATGAACGTCCTCCATTGATGTTGCAATGCGATTTTTGGGGGGCATTTCAATGCGGGAAAAGCATTATAGTGAACCCACAGAGTTCCAAACCGCCCGCAATGGTTGAAAAGTCTCGATATTGAGAGACCACTTCATCTGTTTTATGTACAAAATGCATGTTGTCTGCCTCCTACCAAAAGTCAGTACGAAAAAATACCAAAATTGACCTTGGGAATATTTTTATATGATATGGAAAACACTATATGTAGATCATGTTCATAGAAATTGACTTGTGTCAGTACTAACCTATCCTAATAATGTTAATTAGCATCCAGTCAGTTAGCTTGTCAGTAGCTGCATGGTTTGAATAGGAACACGTGCACATGACACAACAGTTAGCTTCTCTCATTCCAATTCAAACACGGAACAGTGGCGCCCTCTCTGACCACCTGAAATCATTTCCTTCCTGACAACAAAACATTAGCTAACAACATAAACAGTGAGCTACAACCAATGGCAGCAAAAAACAACAACAAAAAAATAAGAACAATGGTTATGCTAATTGGTCAGTTAGCTTGTCAGTAGCTGCATGGTTTGAATAGGAACACGTGCACATGACACAACAGTTAGCTTCTCTCATTCCAATTCAAACACGGAACAGTGGCGCCCTCTCTGACCACCTGAAATCATTTCCTTCCTGACAACAAAACATTAGCTAACAACATAAACGGTGAGCTCCAACCAATGGCAGCAAAAAACAAAAAACAAAAAAAAAAGAACAATGGTTATGCTAATTGAGTGTCCAATGAGATTTCATATTTGATTTATTATTGCTGAGTTTAACTGTTTGTAATCACGTGGCAGATTCCGAGCTTGTTTACATGCTCAGCCCTCAATATTGACTCGTGTCCATGAAGTGATGCAATTAAGTGTCCCACTGAGGCTCAATCTGTCATGTGAAGACCCCCGTCGCTGACATCTGGACCACAGGTAAGACTGACAAGGGCTAGAAATGAATACAAATCCATCTTACTGAATTCGAAATTTTAACTGAAACAAAAATTTGATAAGACAGTGATGATTTGAGAGATAGTATTTATTTCTCATATATGCAAAATCACATTGCTTACTTGTCCCTTCCTGGCTCTGGCTATGCTGACCTCCCCTTTACGCTTTCCAGTGTAATTGTTTGAGGTCGACATGCTAAATGCTAAGCTAGCTTAAACCAAGGATGCATTGAGTGAGGGCTCGGCTGAGAAAATAAGAGCCTTGTTCAAATGTGAATTTCTATTGTTCAAAGTTCACCGAAAAGGGAATGTTGGAGTCCGCTCTATGTGCTCCAACTGGGGACACGGTGTGTCAGTGCGTCAGGCAGTACCTAGTGGAAATAGTTCAAGCATGTGGTGCAGATTGGTTCATAGAGGAATTAATGGGAGGAAGCGTGCTCTGCCTCTCCAAACTCACCACTCTCAGAGTGTCATAAGCGTGAATTTCTGACTGTAACCTACAATAATACTGTCGAGAAAGAAGGAGACTCTTGCATATTTAAGCTAACGTCATTTTCTCTCTGTTTTGTTTCTAAGACGACCTCAAGCCGGGACAACTCAAAAGGTATGACTATAGTCGAGTCAAGTTGACGTGGTTAGCTAACGCCACTCACTTCCTGCTCAACTCAGAGGATTCTACTCTAATAGATAGAGTAGATGCTAGCACGATAAGCTTTTGTCACATGCTTC